TTGACTTGGCTGCTGGCCTTTCCCAGTGATCCCTTCATCATTAGGCTTTTTTTAGATTGGAAGGACTATGGGGATCCAAGCTGTCATGCTCTGTTATGTATGGGATTTTAATTCAGACAGTATTACGCGGGTGAATAGGAATGGGCCCCCCCCATTGTCAAGAAGACAAAAAGGTTGGGGACATATGAAATCCCAGTTAGACTGCATCAGTGCTGGCCTTTCCCAGTGATCCCTTCATCATTAGGCTTTTTTTAGATTGGAAGGACTATGGGGATCCAAGCTGTCATGCTCTGTTATGTATGGGATTTTAATTCAGACAGTATTACGCGGGTGAATAGGAATGGGCCCCCCCCATTGTCAAGAAGACAAAAAGGTTGGGGACATATGAAATCCCAGTTAGACTGCATCAGACTTTTCTTCTGAAATCCTTTGTTTTACATGCTTCTAACAATACGGGGGTTAAGTGTGCTCTAGTGATTTTGACAGTACCTTTTTCTGCAATGTCGCTCTGCTGCAGGTGTCAAAAATGCTTTGAAAGGAATTATAACGATTTCTTAAAATTAGTGTCTTCCTCAGGAAAAGAATTTCTGCTCCTTAATTTATGGGAAAAGGCCTTTATGAGGTACAATCTCTGCAGAGTCTTTGGAGACTGATGAAATCTTAACATTCATATCTCTGGGTTCACCACAGCTTCCTTTACGCCTATATGTTAATATCTCATCATAAAGTATTTGCCTTATTATTTCTCTGCCTTTGTAATCCCTTTCAAAAAGATCATTGTGATCATGGTTCTGCTCTGCTGCTGGCAGTATGGCAGGGTAGATATTACAATACTGAAAAGTCCCCTATTCATAATAAGTTATATTCAATGAAAGTTCAGAAATTGTGTTGTCAGATGAGTTTGAAGTCTCTCTCAGTCACTCGCTGCCTGTGTGCTTTCTCAGAGAGATGAAACTGTGAAATAACATTTGTGTAGGTGTTCATCATCTTTTCCTGCACGCACTTAGGGTCAAGCAACTTCTTTATGCAGTGGTCAAATAAAATATTAGCTCATCATTACCATCAGCCGTATGATGGTGGAGGAAACGTGAGAAGACTTTTGTGCTTTGCTAGATACAGTTTCATTTCATTTCCTGAAGACAGTGTCCTTCTTTTAGAGGCCACCTTCATCAAGCAGACACCTCAACCCTGCTTGGAGCTGCTCATACCTCTCTGTTCAAGGAGCCCAAGTCAGTGGCAGTGTGATCAGCTGAGGAGGTTGCTGCTTGTCCTGTATCATCTTGCTTTCATTTTTCTCTCACCCACACTGTGAACTTAGGAGGAAAAACATGAAAAGTTTTGGCTCTGAATGAGAACTGAAGAGGACATGTTTTTCCATCTTGTTAAGTATTTTAAGATTTGAAAACCATTCCTCTTTTATACTATGATGAAAGTTAATTGGAGAGAGAGATCAATCTTCTGTCATCCAAGAATAACAAATATTCTAGTGGTTAAGGCACGATGTGGAAGAGGGAGACTTTGCTTCTTTACAATTTCTCGTTTTTTTGAGCTGTTCCAAAAATAAGTATCCACTGGCCATGACTATTTTGAAGGCAGATCAGATCCTCTTTAACACATGAGACCTATAATCTTGATCCAGAGGCTATGAAGTCATTATAGTAACAAATATAGTAATAGAATGGAGTAAGCATTGCTTTGATACAGCCCTGTAACACACCTCACATTTACAAAATTCTGAAGTGAGACTTTTACAGCTTTTTGTGCGGAGGTGTGGGTCACAAATTCACTGCTCCTCCTCCAGGGGGGGAAGGACAAGCTCCCATCTGGGCAGGCTGTTGTTGCTTCTCTGGCCATCTGAAGGAAGGACACTTTCTTTGCTGCTTTTTGGACACTGCAGCTGAAAGAGCCCTGTTCTGCTAGAGCTCTCCCCACAAGTTATTTCTCATTTGGTCTTGCATTTGGCATTCTCATTCAATGAAGGGATGGTCTGGGAAGGTCTGATGTGCTCTGCTGTATGACTAACAAAGGACAGAAAATGAGAATGACTCTGGTTAACCTTCCTGGCTTCATAAAATACACCCCAGCTCAAGTTGCCATTTTCATTCTGCATCAACCGTTGCTCTGCCAAAGGCCTTGCTTTCCTGGTTTGCTATAGAGACTCTCAAGCCAGTGATCAATGCTAGGATGATTGTTTGTTCCCTGATACCGTCATCGAAGGACCAACCCAAATGAATCTGTGGATAAAGGAAATTGGTAAGAGAAAGTAAGACAAAATTATATAATTTATAACTGTTTGGGATATCTAAGGTGGTTCTTTAATGCAGAGTCTTGTGATGAAGTCTTGCAGGGTCTTAGTCCTTTAAAAGCATAAATGTTTCAGAGTCCTGATTTTGAAATGAAGGTTGTGCTCAGATTTGTAATGGCCTACATACAGCAAGAGGGAGTATGAGTTTGCATGTGCACTTAAAAAGGTGTTAACAATTAGAATAAATTTAGAAGTAGATTGTAAAGCTTGATTTTCTGTAGGAGTTGGATAAATTTTGTCTGGTGCTTTATTCTGTGAAAATGTGTTAATCCAGTTGCTTGTGAATTCAGACCTTTTCTCCTAAGGAGTATCTCCGGTGGATGTTGCAATTTGATTGAGTTACAGGCATTAATAAACTGCAGTCTGCATTAAAATGCTTAGTGTTTCTTATTGCTCCTTTCTAGGTGAATTAAAGGAAGACAATAAGTTGGACAAAAAAGATCAGCCTAGTCTGGGGGATGAATCAAAGAAAACAGATGGTAAGGACAACATTTTATTACATTTTGTCACCCATATTTATATGCAATCTATTGTTTCCTAAACACCCACAGTTTATTCTAAAAGCAAAAAAATCGTATGGTAAGCAGAAACAGACTTAGCAGAAACAGTCATTAGACTCAACAAAAGTCATTGGGACATTCTGGGGGAAAATCATCCCTTTCACATAATGCCTAGAAACACTCAGTTGTTCTGTTGGTAAGCCCTACCCATCAAGTTTTTGTGCAGTGTCTGCAAGAAAAATCCTGGATTAGAGTTGCTTAATAGGAAATATGTATTTGTGAGGTTCTATCTTTCTGACTTTCTTTGGACAATATTCTGCTCTCTGTTAGGACAGGCTGCACGGGAGATGCAAAAAACAGAGCTGAGAAAAAACCTGCACAAGGTGTCCGTGATTTTCATGATTGCATGTTATACTACACCAACATGAACACAAAGCTTGCTTGACTTAATTGTCTGAGGGGGATTTTGCCAAGCGCTGTCAAACCACAGGTGTAGGAAGCAAGCAGGAGTGAGCACATCAGCATAGAGGTCCTATTAAGGATGCTATATAAAAGGGATGTTGCTGAAACGTTGAACTCAAGCAATCCCAAGACATAGGATGGTTTCCTGGGCATCTGGGAATAATTTCAAACTAGTCTGAGCCTAGTGTAGAGGTCCACAGATGTTTTAGTAGCGTCAGCAAAGTGGAAAAACAGCTGTAAAGTCTGTGGCATGTTTACTCTTTTGCATCTCCTCAGTTTGTACCACAGTGCTCTGAGATAGTGTCTGAACTTATGTTGCTCCAAAAGTGATTGCTGAAGTATTAGGTAGCAAAATAAACGGCAGGAAATGTTAGGGCTAACATTTTCTTTGTGTACGCCTCAGTGAAATCCACTGAAACACACCTATTACTAAAGGTAAATAATACAGTACTTTGTTTTGATGGTCAAGAAAGATGACCTCATAGTAAGTACTGCAGTTTAGAATGATACCATGTTTTCTTTTATTGCTTCCTTTTAAGAATTACTTAAAATTCCTATTGCTCTAGCAAAGTGATAAATAAGAAGAAAATGTGATACCTCAACTAAAAATGTAGAAAAATTCATCTAGAAGCGTGTATTAATTTCAGACGCATAAACATGTACTTTGTTTAAAGAGGCCCCTTAGCAACAATTGTTTAGGAAAATTCAATTATTTTGTTAAGAGGTCGTATTATTTACACACTTGACTTAAGTGTCTGTCAGGAAAGCAGTCTTGAACAAGTACCATTCACAACTCTTTCTGTGGTCATGCAGAAATTAAGCACAAATATTGAAATAACATGCGACTCTTCAGATGTTCATGAATATGTGCAGTGCTGTATGTAACTATCAAGGCCCCAGAAGAATTAATGGGCAGAATGGCTACTCTCCCCACTGCAATGGGTGATGGCTGAGGAGTGGCTGTGCTGGAAGGCTGCAGCCCTGGCAGGACCAGGTGGACACAGAAAGACTGGGGCTTCTTTAGAAGGACTCAGGAGCATCAGCCCAGCCCAGAGAGTAGACCTGGGAATCCCTAACTTTGAGAACCAGGTTACATTTGAAGACCTGCACTGTCAAGGTCTCAGAAAGATTAGGGGCACCTATTTAGTTGGGCTGGAGGACCAAGAAGTGAATGTTTCATGCTGACTTGAAGATTGAGGGTGTGAATTTAGTTCCTTGCAAGTTGCTAGTCTTTGTGCAGTGTTAGTTATTTAGTGTCTGTTTGTTCTCCTGTAAGAAAATGTTCTGCTCATCGCCTTAGGGAAAAGACCAATACCATGGGACCAGTTGATTACAGTGAATAAGCAACTGTAACCATGCAAAGACAATTTGTAGGCTGAACGTTTTTCATTCAGATGCTGTAGAGACAGATTATAGCTAACGATCTCATTGGCAGAAATCAGGAGAAAAATTGTGAATGATGTACCTTGGAAAGGAAAGTGCTAGAGTGGCGCTTCTGTTTTGACAAATACTGCCCAACCTGTTCTGTCCATTGCTCACTCCAGAGCAAATCTCCTTACCAGCCATGTGAGGGTGTTGAGAAAGGAGCATTATCCATGGATAATAGCTGTTTGCAGACTACTGAAATATTTACCCGAACATATGCTTTCTCACATGCCAGTACATAGTCTTTCACATGCTAGAAAAAAAGATTAAGTGGAGGAGTTAGAAAGATTGAGGTTACAGCTATAATCCACTCACCATATGTACTTTGTGGTGGGTGAAACGCAGCCTGGACTTTTTGCAAGGTCAGGGGTCCTTGGGTTTTACGGCCTCTGTTCAGTCTGTAGCTGGGGTGTATTTGTATTAAACAGGTGCCCATTTGTGTAGTTTTACCGTGACGGCTTCAGCTTTCTCACCACCACCCATTAGCATCAGCTAGAGCTGTGCACTCAGCTGAGGTCAGTCAGCTACCCTGTCCTCCTGCACAGGCATCCTGCACCTGGAGAAGAAAGCCGCAGAGTATATGTTGCCTAAATCTTTGCAGGATCTGTGTCCAAGTTGCTTTTTAAGCATATACAAAGGAAATTATTGTAATATCCTGTTAACTGGAATACTTATATGCCAAAATGTTTCTAATACATTTGTCCTTCTACTACATGGGGAGCCAAGTGGCCAGGGACACACAGAATAACTATCCCATGTGGACACGAAGACATTGAAGCTTCATGTCCACACTGTAGTCATAGGTGTGCAATGTAGCTTCTGTGTTAGAGTTACCTTGAAGCTACCCAAAAATAATTAAGTGGGCATGCCTCCAGAAACAGGGATCAGGCTCTCTGAGACAGCGAGGAACTAGGTATGCATCTAGCCAGAGCTTCATACAGCTGAGTCTATCCGTACCAAAGCCAACTACTTTAAAGCTGGCTTGAGGATGGCTATGTAAGCTGCAGTCATGCCTTAGATTTTGGTCTTAACTGTTTCAAAATCCTGTGCAAGTCTCTTGAACGTAGGCTAGTCTCCTTCTCATATTAATGTAATCTTCATATTATTGGCTTTTTTCTGTGGGAGATACTGCTTGTTTCTCAGTACTTCCCTTTTTTTCAGTTCCAAGAAAAGAGATATGGGCCTGCTATTTCCCACATAAAGACACAGCCCTATCAGAGACATCAGCAGCACAAGTAGTTCATCAAATGTTTCCTGTGGGATAGAACATTATTAAACCATTTTGGAAAACCTGATTTTCCCATGTGAAATAGTTGCTTTTTAACACTTTGAATGGAAAATTGTAAGCAGTCACATGGAAATAATTTTTATGTACATTCACAAATTGCAATTTTTATCTGCATTCTTTTTTGCAATTTTTTTTTGCTCACAAAACTGACAACAAAAGAGAAAATTATTTCTCCCCATTACCACTTCCACAGATTATCTCTACCACATCCTTATTTTTTTCCTACTGGGAAAAGATTCTGCAGCATTTATACAAAGTTTTCAGTGCAACTCTTTGTTCTAGGGACCAAAACACAGTTTATTCAAATATTCTTTTTCAGCTAGCAGTTACAGAAAAGTAAAAGGTTCTTTTTTTTGTGTTTGTCCTGGGAACTTATTATTCTTGTGGTAACATGCACGTTTGCAGGTTATAGCACAGAAATATACGGGATATTTTTATCTTGAACAGCTAGTACATACAGAGAAAGCCTAACGTGCCCTGGGTATGTGTGATGAGCAATGCTCCCACCTCGTGGTCAAATAGTAACCCTGTGTTTTGACAGGTCATAGTTTCAATAATACATTCCTCTATGCAGTGCAACAGCATGTAATATATAATACAATACAATACAGTACAATACAATATAATATAATATGATATGTGGCCTTTTAAATATACAGACTCCGTGAAGACTTCATAACAGGCTTACCAGAAATTGAAGTTTTAGCTTTCTTTATTTTGATTTTGTTAAGCTATACTGTTGCTTAACAGTAGTTAAAAGCCTTTCCTACATGTTCTATACATTGCCCATGCCAACATGTAAAGCTGGCTTTTGGTCTTAATTTTTCTTGACAATCATTCCTTGATCAGCAAGTGGACAATTCCCTGATTATAAAGGTGAAGTACAGGGGCTTAATTTCTTTCTGTCCCAGTTGTCCCCAAAAATCAAGTGGCAGAGTAGCTGGCACAGAATGTTGTTGTCTGAGAATGCCTTTGGTATAGGAACGTGGTGGTGTGAAGGAGCCATGATGATGGCTCCATAATTACCCTAGACATAGTTGAATTAACAAGATTCTTCCCAGGTTAATTTAAGGAGAATGCAGCTTTTTGCAAAGCTGTTCAGCCATTTCAGAATTGTCTGTCTTTGCAGCCTTCTGCAGATAAGGTTTTCATGATCTAGCCAAGACCACTACATAGCAATGAACACTAAGTAGACAACTTCTGACAAAACCCTGTTCATGTAATCTGCATAATGCCAATATTGTCTTAAAAGAGGTTACTCAAGCGTATAAATGAACAGCATTTGTCTGTATCTTCTTGAGAGACGTAAAAAGGTAAATTTCAGGTCATATAAATAATGGTGCCATTTCTATTCCAAAAGATAGGCTGATTTCTCCATTATTGTCGGAAGCAAAAAGCCCATTTCAGTTTGTAAGGCAAACACACTGGGTTCCTCCTTGCTGCTTGATAGTGCTCTTGATATTATACATCAGAATCCAGCAGCAGTGGCAAATTGGAATTATAATAGTCTAAAATTACTTCTAAAGACAATTTCCTTCCTTTTCTTACTTCTTTTTATGGCCTGTTATTTGAATTACATTAGAGGTTATTGCCCCGACTTAGAAATCGGAAAGCGTTGTACTGATACCTTCTGGAAAATCTTGCTTTAAAGCATGAGGGCATTTTGCTATCCAAAAAAGACATATTTCACCATAACTTATCTCTGCTGAGCAATTGTTCCATAGTAGTGCAATATAGGATAACTGGAGGGGGAAAAAGCTTCTGTGCTTTTTAAAATCCTTTTTGTGCTCTTTTTAAAAAAATG